ATTAAGTTTGAAAAATCCTTGCACAGAGATTTGTTAGTAGCACGGAATATAATGTCATCTACATAAACTTATACCAAGAGGATGTTATCGTTTTTACTCTTGATGAAAAGCGTAGTGTCAACCTTCTCCCTTTTGAACCCGTTGTCCAAAAGAAATTTGCTCAAACGTTCATACCAAGCATGAGGTGCTTGTTTGAGACTGTAGAGTGCTTTCTTTAGTTTGAAGACATAGTCCGGGCGCTAAAAATCCTCAAAGCCCAGGGGTTGATCAACATACACTTCTTCTTAAATAAAACCATTGAGGAAGGCACTCTTAACGTCCATTTGGTACAGTTTAAAATCCATAAATGAAGCAAAAAAAGTAATAAACGAATAGCTTCTAAACATGCTACTGGTGCATAAGTTTCTTCGAAATCAATGCCTTCTTCTTTATTGTAGCCTTTAGCTACGAGCCTAGCTTTTTTCTAGTGATTATCCCGTTTTCATCAAGTTTGTTACGGAACACCCATTTCGTACCAATTATGGTATGATCATCGGGTCTTGGCACCAATTCCCAAACATCATTTCGTTTGAATTGGTTAAGCTCCTCTAGAATTGCCAAGGTCCAATGTTCATCATTAATTGCTTCCAAGAGAATTACGAGTACTTACCCTTCGATTGATGTCACCGATTACCTTGTCAAGAGGATGGTCCTTTGACGAACTTGTCAAGAGGTTGGTCCACGCAGTTGGCATTGGCGTCTCTTCCTCTCGTGGTTGTTCCTCGTCCATAGGTGGCTCTTCTTCTTCGTCTTGTGCTTCCTTTGAGCTACTTCCTTCTTCATAGATGTTCTCCAACGAATCTACAAGATCATCACAAGAAACCTTTCTCGCCAAGCGAGTATCACTTTCGGCAAAGACAACGTAAGGAGATTCCTCAACGATTAAGGCGCGTTTGTTGAAGACTCTATAGGCCTTACTGCGCAAAGAGTAACCAAGAAAAATTCATTCATCCGACTTTGCATCGAATTTACCCAAGTTATCTTTTCCATTATTATGAACAAAACATTTGCAACCAAAGACTCGAAGATGGGAGAGGTTTGGCTTTCTTCCTTTGTATAGTTCGTATGGGGGTTTCATGAGTATCAGTCTAATGACGGCTCGGTTTAACACGTAGCTCGCGGTACTCACGGCATTCGCCCAAAAATACTTAAGAATTTGCCTCATCGAGCATAGTTCTAGCGATTTCCTTGAGACATCGATTTTTACGTTCCACCACGCTATTTTGTTTTTGTGTATGTGGAGCGGAGATGTTATGCTCGATGACAAGTTCGTCACAAAACTCGGTAAAGAGATCTCGTTCGAACTCTCCACCATGATCGCTTCGTATGGCTACGGTGGTTAAGCCTTTTTCATTTTGAACCTTTTTTAGAAAAGTTTTGAAAACATGAAATGCCTCAGTTTTATGAGTTAGAAATAATGTCCATGTGAATCGAGAGTAGTCATCAATGATCATCACAAAGGCGAAATAGTTGCCACCAAATCTTTTTGTTCTTGATGATCCAAAGAGATCCATGTGCAAAAGTTGTAGGGGCCTTGTTGTAGACACTACATTTTTCGATTTAAATGAAGCCCTTACTTGCTTTCCCTTTTGACATGAATCACAAATGGTATCCTTCTCAAACTTGAGTTTTGGGAGACCAACTCCTAGGTCTTGTCCAACTAATTTGTTCAAAAAGTTCATGTTAACATGAGCTACTCTACGATGCCATAGCCACATATCATCCTCCTTACTCATGAGAATTTGGCAATGCCGGAAAGGGATTCATCTAGGTTGACCATATAAATGTTATCGATTCTATCACCATGAAGAATCATCTTATTGTCACTAAAACGTTCCACCATACATGATTTTGAATCGAAAGTCACACGATTTCCCTTGTCACACAATTGACTTATGCTCAAGAGATTGTGCTTAAGACCCTTAACTAACAACACATTATCAATAGAGGAGGTTTTGTTTTTACCAAACAAACCAATGCCGATTTTTTTTCCTTTGCTATTGTCGCCAAAGACAACATTTCCTCCTTTAGTTGGTTTGATTTGTAAGAACTTGGATGCATCTTCGTTCGTGTGCTTGGAGCATCCGCTATCAAGGTACCAAAGTACGCTTGATGCCTTCAAGCACACCTACAAATCAATTTAAAAAGATTTAGGTACCCAATCCGTTTTGGGTCTTTGGGCGTTAGGTGCACGTTGGTAGTTTGATTGGTTTTGAGTGCAATGCCTATGCCTAGTGAAACAAACTAGGGCTATATGTCCTACCCTATTGCAATAATAGCAAATGACATTTGGATTATGCATTCTCCTAGGTTGATAATAGTTGCTAGGTTTTCTATATTGATTGATCCTGCTTTGAGAAAAGTTTTGTTTATGCACATTCAAAAAATTGTTTCTAGGTTCTCTAACATGACCATTGTTCATCTTAGTGTTCTTTCTAGGTGATCTAGTGTTCCTAGTTATTCTAGGTTGTCTATAATTGTTAGTTTTATTTTTTCTAAGTTGAGCCTTAGGTTGTTTAGGTGTTTGCTCAAATTTTTCCTTGTTATTTTTAGTTTCATTTTCAAACCCTAAGCCATGTTTAGAAAATTGCAAATTATCAAGAACATCATTGAGGTTTTTATGAGAAACACCAAACTTCCTCAAGGTTCCTTCAAGTTTTGCAACTTGTTGTTTTAGTGATGTACAAGAGCTACACTTAGAATTTTCCGGTTTGTCGGCGCTTCTTTTTCCGAAAAACTTATTTTCTTCTTTAAGTTTTGCATTGTCTTTTGAAAGCTTATCAACCTCCTTCTCCATGGAAGTAAGTTGTGTCTTTAGTTCCTTGTTAATTTTAGAAGCGTTGACATATTCATCGTAAAGTTCATTGAAGGCTTCTTGTACATCATCAAAAGTGTAGGAATCTTTAGAAGTGGTACATACTGTTGAAACACGGGTTTATCACATTTTTGTACTAAAGTCGTGTTCGTTTTTATGACAGGTTTTGATAATGCAAAACCGTCGTGAACGAGACAAGTTGTTGAATATACAAGGCAAGAAATAAATATAAGAAGAAAGCAAGAGAACAAGAGATAAAAGAGACCAAGAACGAAGACCATAGTCTTTAGCGTCGTTGAGTCGATCACAATGTGATCAAGACCGATCCAAGCTTTGCACTTTGGCTCTTTAGGCTAAAACATTTTTTCATTGCATTTTACATATCATCAAAATTACTTTCAAACATGCTTAAGCATATTAAAAACACTTGGTGTTCGCCCAAACCATAAACCAAGCCATCTGGGGTTTCGGCTTTCGGAAACCGGCGTTCGGCATTCGGTTATCGGCGTTGGTTTTTGGAGTCCGAACCAACCAAGTGGTTTTCAAATTTTTATGATTGATTTTTACTTCTGGGCACATTTAAATAGTTTTCCATCAAAAACACTTCAAAAACCACATTTCGTTTTTTGTCATTTGATAAAAACCATGCGAAACGACATAAACTTGGCTAGTCGTGGTTTTTACTTAAATGAAGTGGTTTTCGAGTCTTTTTTTTGTGGGAATTGTTTTTTAATGCATTTAAATGGTTCTCCAATCAAAACATCATGAAAACCACCTTTCAGTTTTGTCTTTTGGTAAAAACCACCCGTGTACTGTGTTGACTTGGTCAACCGTGGTTTCTACCTTAACGACGTGGTTTTCAACTTACAAAGCTTGTTTTGACATCAAAATACATTAAATAAGTGTTTAAAATACTTAGTTTTTACTTTGGAGAACTTTACATTTTTCGGTCGGGTTTCAGTGCCAGTCAGCTAGACCATGGTTCTAGACTAGCCATCTACCCAGTGATGGTAGATATCACCCATCCATGGGTGAGTGATCCCGAGATTCCAGAATCATGCCACCCAGCGATGGGAGATATTACCCATCGATGGGTAAGCAGCCTTCAACCCAACTGAATTCCAGAACCATGCCAAACAGCAATGGGAAGCTCTACCCATCACTGTGCAAACCTTGGTCCAATATAATCACAAGGCAGAATTCCCTTACCCATCGATGGGAACCTTTACCCATCGATGGGAACCCAGCAATGGGAGGGCATACTCATCGCTAGTTAAGCATGACCGTTGTGAGTCATATAAGGCCGATTCTTTCCTTGTTTGAAAGTCAACCTCCCACCCTGCAATGGGAAGTGTTTACCCATCGATGGGTAGGTGACCGTTGCCTTCAAAACTAAAGGAAAATTGGCTTACCAGCGATGGGTAAATCCATACATCGCTGGGAAAGCCAATATCATGTAGATCCACATTTTAATCAATCCCATAAATCATGCCAATCGCCTCTTTAATGCCTTGATCCGTTGGAGCCTATTTTGGCACTATAAAAATGGGTGTTTGGGTCTGCTTCACTAATCAATTGACTTCACATTATTCATATTATCATTACATTCAAACAACATCTTTTTCATAGCTTTCTAGAGCCAAATTGTGTGAAGTTTGAGTTGTTCTTGAGCGTATAGTTTACTCAACATCTACTCTTAAAGAGAGTCTTGTTCTTGAGTATTTTTAGTGTTGTATACACGTTAAGGGAAGCTTGTTTCCCTTGGTTGTACGAAGGAAAGGTATTTTCCTTTGGGTTGAAGTCTTGGAGTGCGGTATCTCCGAGCAAGTGTATTGAGGCTCGTGGGACTCGAGTTCTCAGGTTGTAACGCTTTGTTAAGCACCCGTAAGCTTAATGGAAGTAGTGTAGCTCGAGAGAGTCTCTCGGGAGACTAGACAAGCCACACGTTGTGGTGAACCAGTATAAATTTTGGTGTGCTCCCTTTATGCTTTCTACGTATACGCTCTTTACTTTTCACGTTCTTAATTTTTTATTCTTGCGATTTCTACAATCAAACGCTATTCACCCCCTCTAGCATTGGTCACTTATTCTAACAATTGGTATCAGAGTGTAACTCGCGTCCAAACTTAACCGTTTGAGAGAAAAGCGATCATGGGTTCTTCTTCTAGAAATTTGTATGCAGGAATAGGTGAAGGGCAATTTATACATATTGGAAAGAACGAATGAGAATCTATATTCGTTCCACGAACTTCTAATTATGGTTGGTTACCAAAAACGGGGAAGTGGTGCCGATGAAAAAAGTCAGAGACAAGTTGATCCCCAAGACATAAAAAAGGTCGAGAATTATGCAAAGGCAATAAACATGCTCTATTGTGCCGTAAATCCTGATGACAACCGCAAGATCTCTTGCTGCTCAACCGCCAAGGAGATGTGGGATAAACTTGAGGTGACGTGCGAAGGAACAGACCAAGTACGTGAAGCCAAGATCGACTTCCTCACCCAAGAGTATGAGATGTTTAGGATGAAGGAGCACGAGAAGATCGACGACATGTTTGACTGATTTTCCAAGATAGTCAACGATCTTCATGCATTGAAGAAGACTTACACCGACAGGGATCTTGTGCGAAAGATCCTACGGAGCTTGACATCCGAATGGCGATCCAAGGCCGATGCCATCTATGAGTCAATCGGCACATCAAATGTCACCATCGACGGTTTAAGAGGTAATTTAAAAACTTATGAATCTACCATACTTAACCCGTTTTTGAATGACCAAAGGAAAGGCATAGCATTAAAAGCCGTCAAAGAGCCGACAATGAATGACTCAAGCGACGATGATGATGTCAAGCTTGTCATGAAGAAGTTTTGTAAACTTCTAAGGAAGAAAGAAAAAGTTGAGGATGGCCCTGTGTGCTATGGGTGTGGTGAAGTCGGGCACATCAAGAACAAATGCCCAAGAAGCAGAAGGAATGCCCATCACTTCAAAAAGCAAAGAGCATACATCTCTTCGGGGTGGCGACTCTGGGGATGAGTCAAGCGAGCAAGAGGAAGACGAAGAGGCAAACCTTTGTCTCATAGCTCAAGAAGAAGAGGAGTCCGCCAATGAAAAAAACCAAGAGGTATGTATTTCTTCTACCGGTTCTTATTCTCTTGAAGAAATGCAAGAAGCTCTCCAAGAGCTTTATGACGAGTTTGTTAGCGCTTCTAAAACAAACAAAGTTTTAAAGAAACGTTTTTCTAATCTTGAAACTGAACTTTGAAAACTTCAAAAGGAAAACGAAAAACTAAAAGAGGAAAATAAATTTTATGGTAAAAGAAGCGCCGACAAACCCGAGAGCTCTACGAAAAATTGTGACTCTTGCATAGCTTTGAAAGAACAAGTCACAAAACTTGAGAGCACGGTTAAGAAATTTAATACTCCGCACAAAGATCTTAATTTACTCCTTGACACTATGCACTTTTCTAAAGAAGGAATAGGTTTTAATAAAAAGGAAGCTAAGGATAAAGAAAACGCTGAGCAAACACCTCGACAACCTCCTAATGCTCAACGTAAGAAAGCTAAAAATCAAGAAAATAGAAAACCTAGTCAACCTAAGCACACTAGGTAACCAAGACAACAATCTAGGAATGAAAATGTTCATATTAGACAACCTAAGAAAAACTATCAAAATGATTTTATGCACAAAAATAATTTTTCAAATAGACAAAATAATGCTAGGATACCTAGAAGAGAGAATTTTCAAAATACCCAAAAACCAATATTTTCTCAAAGTAGGATGAATATGGTTAGACCCCCTAGCTATTACCAACCTAGGCATTATTGCAATAGGGTAGGACATATAGCTCCTGTGTGTTTTACCAGACATAGGCATTTCACCTATAATGAAACACACAACATATTTGGTGCTAACGAAAAGAAATCCTCTAGAAAAGGATATTCGTATCATAAACAATCTCCACAGGATAATGCACAAAAGAAACCTTACTATTTCTTCTACTTTGACGAAAAGAAGAAAGTCCACATTCCGTTACCGGAACCAACACAAATCACACCGAGATATCGGCACTCCGTTCAGGTAGACTGGAACCCGCCAACCACGAGATCAAGGGCTGGCCAAGGTAACTCCTAAACGATCATCTAAGCGTGTGTGTGTGTGTGCGCGCACGTAAGGAAATGAATTTTGGTTGTGTGTGGGCAAAAAAGGTTAACTAACCCCGAAGGACCCATAGACATACTTTGGGTACCAAAGTGTTGCTTTTTTGCAGGTACGTATCAAAGTGAGGAACTCAGCGGGAACCAACGATGGGTGGTTTATCCCATCGTTGGGAAGGAAGTATTTTCTAACCAGCAGCCCTCTTCCCATCGATGGGAACTTTTTCCCATTGCTGGGTGTTTGACACTTATTTTTTTAAATTTTTTTTAACGGATTTCCAGTAGCTGTCTTCCCATGGATGGGAGAACCTTACCATCGCTGGGAAGGCTGCCTTCAATTTTTCCTCCATTTCCAATAGATGGCTTCCCATCGATGGGAGAACCTTACCATCGCTGGCAAGGCTGCCTTCACTTTTTCCTCCCTTTCCAGTAGCTGTCTTCCCATCGATGGGAGAACCTTACCATTGCTGGGAAGCCTGTTGCAGTTCAAAAATCATAGCCATTGGGCACCTCATTCAATGCCCATTAGCCATATTTTTGAACACCAAGGCCCAAATTCTCTTTTCCTATAAATATTAACCATCCTTGGTCATTTTTAACAAACAATTTACATTCCTTTTGCATACTTTAAGCCTCTACTCACTTTCTAAACGCTTCAACAATGGCAAGAGGAAAGTCGAGGACCAAAATCGAGACTTCAAAGAAGAAGGCCAACACCGACGCCACGACCTCTTCTTTATTCTCTCCTTATTAAATATGATTGTATTTTTATCCGTTGTATTCCGCATTTCCCTTTTAATGAATAAAAGTTTACTTTCAATTCTTTTTGTTAATGTCAAAAGGGGGAAGATATAAAGGTTATGCATAGATTGAGGGGGAACTTTTTTTAAAACTAACTCTTATTCAACACAAAAACTTTGTTGAAAAGAAAATTGCATTTATTAAGGGGGGAACATTTTTTTAAGTCTCAAATCAATCATCCTATGCATAACCCCGTCTTATTTGCCATTATGAAAAAGGGGGAAATTGTTGAAACACGGGTTTATCAAGTTTTCGTACTAAAGCCGTGTTCGTTTTTATGATAGGTTTTGATAATGCCAAACCGCCATGAACGAGACAAGTTGTTGAATATACAAGGCGAGAAATAAATATAAGAAGAAAGCAAGAGAACAAGAGCTAAAAGAGACCAAGAACGAAGACCATAGTCTTTAGCGTCGTTGAGTCGATCACAATGTGATCAAGACCGACCCAAGCTTTGCACTTTGGCTCTTTAGGCTAAAACATTTTTTCATTGCATTTTACATATCATCAAAATTACTTTCAAACATGCTTAAACATATTAAAAACACTTGGTGTTCGCCCAAACCAAAAACCAAGCCATCTGGGGTTCGGCTTTCGGAAACCGGCGTTCGGCATTTGGTTATCGGCGTTTGTTTTTGGTGTAACACCCTAATCCGTCCAGGTCTGCAGCCCCTTTCGGACTAAAGTATTAACTCTGTAATCGTAAAATTTAAAACTTTTCAAAAACTTTTATTTATCACGATAATATTTTTCGTAACATATAAAGTGCGGAGTTTTAAATATTGCGGAAGCTTAACAAATCATAATTACAAACATAATTTATTTATGTTCTTTAATTCAAAACCATCACATCCATTCTGACAATCTCGCCTCCGTCTCCCTTCAAAATCACATCACATCATTCTTTCTATTAACCTGCGTGTAGCAAATAAAACATACTACACGCTCAGCGGTAAAGCTGAGTAAGCATATCTAATGCGTCGAACATCCATATAAATTGAACCCAAATTCATAATCAAATCATTTGATATCATGCACAAAGTATTCAGTTCAAATATACAATAATCAATATTCAACATTCGTCATTCAATATTCATATTCAACATTCAACATCCTCATTCAATAATATCCTTAAACTATTCTTAGTCTAAGACCAATCTATTTGATGTTTACCAACTCTTAAACGAATTCTAGTTTAAGATATTTAAACTATATTCGAGTTTAAGGTACTCTTAACTAATCCTTAAGCTAGGCCTAGTTTAAGATACAAATTTTCAAAAAGAGGTTTTCAAAATCTTAAACTTACCTTCGCTTAAGGTCATCCAGAAACCAAACAGCGGAATGCTCACTGTCGGGTTGGGTGGTATCCCCAAACGAGTTCCTCTAGTTTGGTTTGTAGATCCCGTACGTACGTTTTAACCCAGGCCACAGAATATTCATAATTATACCCGCAAGGCCTATTTTTAAGCCATCTTAGAGGTCTTCTAGATAGTCTTAGAAACCAACGTCAACCTAGGTATATCTTAGAGTTATCTAGATATCCTTACAATTCAAATCATTTCATAATCATCAACATATTCATTTCAATTCATAATTTAATCTTCAATAATCATTTTAATCAGTAGTTTCATCAAGTCATAATCATCAACATATTGATTTCAATTCATAATTTAATCTTCAATAATCATTTTAATCAGTAGTTTCATCAAGTCATAATCATCATAATAATCATTGATCATAATCATCAATCAACATAACATTTAATAACAAACAGCGGCCTAGTCTCGAGTGTTAACACCCGAACTTACCGTCATGCATCACATAATATTTTATATGCCAAAAACATCATTTTTATTATACAAAATCATATTTATATTGTGCATAATTAATGGGTATCAAAAATAGGATTTCATAGTTCAAAAATCATGTTTTCTAAACAATAATTGATTAATATATGATAGGAAATTCAATTATTAACTATTAGCTTCATTTTCTTCAATAGTGTAAGGAGACAGTCTACTGTCACTTCTGATAATCTACTGTCTGATGTTCAGAATGGGCTGATAATCGATTATCACACTATGATAATCGATTATCAAACTTCAGAGAGGGCTGACAGTCGATTGTCACATTTTGACAATCGACTGTTGCTCAGCTTTATTCCAAAAATCTACAGAACAAGCCACAGTCGATTTTCAAGTTGATAATGAGAAGGAAAGAAGAAGAAGACAGCTATGGTGACTCCACAATTCTGCGATCGGCGTAGTGGGGAAGGAGGCACCGTCTAAACAGTTCCCTGATTGGGACCTATTTTGGTTCCAGTCGGGGTACACTTTTTGGTCCAACTTTCTCCAAATTGAAATCCGTTTGCACCGTTGCGATCAGACAGTCAAGTTCTATCCAACGATATACTTTTCATAATTATTTGTAATACTTTTTCCGACATCATATTTTTGGGTGGTTGACTTTGACAAAGTCAAAATTGATTTATTTGACCTTTACTTAAAAAGGTACTCATACTAAATTCATATTATTTATTCTCATGATTTATTTCAATAAATCATTTTAAAGTTTACATCATAAACACATTATTCATTTATTGCTGATTTTAGGTTTGTACTTAGGTTCCCAACCAAGATTACACAATTAGTCAACATATTGGATTTATCTCTACGAGATTTATCCAGATTAAGATTTTGGATATCAAACACATATTATTTCGGCCCAAAGTCCAACAATAAACTATTTTTAATCAAAACAAATTTGATTAATTTATTATTTATTTATTAATAATTCTAGGGTATGTTTTGGGGCGTTACATTTGGAGTCCGAAACAACCAAGTGGTTTTCAAATTTTTATGATTGGTTTTTACTTTTGGGCACATTTAAATAGTTTTCCATCAAAAACACTTTAAAAACCACCTTTCGTTTTTTGTCGTTTGATAAAAACCATGCGAAACGACATAAACTTGGCTAGCCGTGGTTTTTACTTAAATGAAGTGGTTTTCGAGTCTTTTTGTGTGGGAATTGTTTTTGAATGCATTTAAATGGTTCTCCAATCAAAACATCATGAAAACCACCTTTCGGTTTTGTCTTTTGGTAAAAACCACCCGTGTACGGCGTTGACTTGGTTAACTGTGGTTTCTACCTTAACGACGTGGTTTTCACCTTACAAAGCTTGTTTTGACATCACAATACATTAAATAAGTGTTTAAAATACTTAGTTTTTACTTTGGAAAACTTTGCATTTTTTGGTCGGGTTTCAGCGCCAGTCAGCTAGACCATGGTTCTAGACTAGCCATCTGCCGAGCGATGGTAGATATCACCCATCCATGGGTGAATTATCCCAGGATTCCAGAATCATGCCACCCAGCGATGGGAGATATTACCCATCGATGGGTAAGCAGCCTTCAACCTAGCGATGGGAAACTTTACCCAGCTGTGCAAGCCTTGGTCCAATATAATCACAAGGCAGAATGCCCTTACCCAGCGATGT